GACTAGTTTTTGTAAATTATGTTTTTAAATTGTTGAACATTAAAATGATCAGAAACAATTTTCAGTTGTAAAGTTCCATTTTTCCTCATTATTTTCAGACTAATAAGGCCATCACCTTTAGTACTTCAAGAGTAATAAATAAAATAATATGAAAATGTCACAACTTGAATCTTATTTTGCGTATTCCCAAAAAGTTGAAATTTTGTATTGGGACACTTTCATCGTAAAGGTGCAACCTGAAGGTCGGCAAACGTCAAGAAATTAGTTTTGATCGTTGACTACGAATTAATTATTATAATTTTCATCACTTGCTTGGAAATGAAAATATCGTGAGAAAACTTGGATTTCGGAGATAATTGCCGAAATCTTCAAAGATGCGAGAATGTCAAGTCTCCAACCATTACTTACTATGCAAGTGTAGTGGACTAAACCTTGTGCAAAAAATAGTACTTTACTAACTTACATACGTCTATTGCTGAGCACACGTTTCTAACAACAGGTTTACGCTTAATTTGACTTATTTACACACGACAACTTTCTGTGTATGGGTTTATTACATGGTGAAATTGAAATAATTAACATCCGTTGAACCTATTAAGGTTCTTACTTCCTAATAATATCTACTCATCTAAAGAAATATTTTAGAATAGTTTAAATTAGCAATAGTGTAAAACCATAAAAAATCTTACCTAAATAAACAAAGTATCAAGATTAGTCGCCTTGCGTACGCGATACGTAATCGTAGCGAAGTCACAAGCCTTTGGCGGCAACTTTGGCGGCAAAAATATCACCTTTGATTTTCGCCGCCAGCATTTTGATTTTATACATCGTGATGTGGAGTAGTGAATTAATGTTAGACTCGTTTCGGAGGTCGTGGATTCGAATGTCATAGTTGATTGGCTCTATGGTGTAGGTTAGAGTGTTAGGCTTTCGTTTCGGCGGTCGTGGATTTGATTCCCATAGTTGACTGCCTCCATGGTGTAGTGGTTAGTGTGTTAGGCTTTCGTTTCGGATGTCGTGGGTTTCCGATGGGTGACTGCCTCCTTAGTGCAGTATATCCGTAATCACCCAGTCAGTTCTTGCGTTGTGTGGAAGTGGTACGGGTGATGGTCAGAGTTATGTTTACAAACAAAGACGTATGCAGTGCAACGTTGAAGGTCGTAGATACGTAGGATATAGGTATTCGTTTAATGTGTATGTAATGATGTAATTTGTATCATGAGAAGGGTCTTATTTTAAAAGGATGGTAATAATTTTAATTTCATCCTGTAGGTACATTATGAAAACGTTACCCTATATTCCAAAATTTGCGTTTCAGTCGGCGTCCTTTGATGTGCCGCCGCTAAGGCAGAGGCACTATTTTTTTATTTTTTGTAACAGTCTGTAATTGCCGTTTGCGTTGTGAGGACTAAATAGGTGTCATCGTTTTGTTTGTGTCTCGTTTTTGTGTTAATTTAAACTATGTCACGCTTAAGCAATAGTGATTACTATGAGATGATGTTGTGCGTAGGCGCAGCCGATGGGAGCTTGCGCCAGGCTCGCCAAATGTATTGGGCAAAGTTTATTGATGGCGTCCCAGAAAATCGACGTCGACCATTTCCTACTCTGGAATGCTTCAGGAAGATGGTTATGAGACTTCATAATAGTGGATCGTTCCGTGGTTCCAGTTCTGAAGGCCGGCCGAGTTCACGAGACCCAGAATTCGAGGCAGATGTTTTGGAACATTTTCTCGGCAATCCAAAGACAAGTACTCGTCGTGCTGCGGCAGCCTTTGGTGGTGTGAACCATATGAGTGTGTGGCGTGTGCTACGGGATGATGGCCAGCACCCATACCATTTTCAAAGAACGCAGGAGCTGTTACAAGCGGACTATGATCCACGTTTGGCATTTTGCCGCTGGTACCGCGACCAGATTGGGAGGTCTCCCGACTTCGCTTCGTCGGTACTGTGGACAGACGAGGCGTCATTTACGCGTGCGGGCATTATCAATATGCATAATGAACATTTTTGGACTCATTTGAATCCCCGCGTATCAAGGGAATCAAATTTTCAACACCAGTGGCGGATTAACGTGTGGGCTGGTATAATAGGTTGTGCCGTCATCGGTCCAGTGTTTTTGCCGGCAAGTCTGAATGGGGCCAATTATTTAAGATTCCTAACAGAAGACTTGGATGACGTTCTGATGGCCCTGCCAGTGACACAATACGTGAGACTCGTGATGGAACACAGGATGACTTTCCAGCACGATGGAGCACCCGCACATTTTGCTCGAAATGTACGTTCCCATCTGAACGACCGTTTCCCGCAGTGGATTGGGCGGGGAGGTCCTGTACCCTGGCCAGCGCGGTCCCCAGACTTGACACCGCTCGATTTTTTTTTATGGGGTCATATAAAAAATATTGTTTATGCGGAGTCCTGTGAAAGCGCAGAAGAAATGAGGCAGCGGATCGAAATGGCATTTAGTCAAATCACTCGGCAGATGCTTCAAAGAGTAGAGCAGTCTCTGTACCGACGCACGGAAATATGCATATTGCATGGAGGTCGGCATTTTGAACCTTACCTGTAAATGTGTGAAATGTTCCAGCAGTGCGTGCATTGATTGTACTTATTATTCAAAATTATCGTAAACAAGTCAATATTTCGTACATTGTACAACAGTGAATTACAATTCGTAGAAAATTCATTAAAACGTGTATGAATTGAACAGTAGGTAAGTACCAATTAAAAAAGTATCCACTATTGTAAAATTGTCGTAAATAAATGTATTAATACTAAACTATGTAGAATGTGTATACGATGAAGGCGTGCGTAACTACGGGCTTAATAAGTAAATAAATATTTTTTAAATTGTATGTAAATAAGTACGTACGCGTACCTAGGTATGGCATAAAATAATATTATTAGAAATAATTCGATTTTTCTAGGTATTTAAAGATTTTGTTACTTAATATTAACGTATTATCAACATATTGAAATCATGTTGGTGGTTGTTGGTGAACCTAATAAATAAATAAATAAATAAATGTTTTTACAATGGCATTTCAATTGTAGTCAGCTGTTCTTTCGCCCCGCCCAGGTTTCATGAATGAATTTGTGAAGTCGTAGTAACGTAGCTAGCAATAGAGTTGTGACGCAGTGGTTGTTTCGGACAATCACTATTTATACAAACATAATTAAACTTATATCAACATTAAAAGTCACTTATTTTTATTTGATATTTTGCACACAGGGTCTAAATCAAGTGTACATTTGGGTCCTTTAATATGACCACACCTTTCTGTTACACCCGGTATATACGATAAAGCATTCCAAGCTCTGGGATTCATCATTCGTACCTCAGAGAGGTTTAAAAATATGAAAACCCTGAAAATTCTTTATTGCACTATGTTCGTAACCACCTTGAGTACAAATTTGGAATCCCTATTACGATATTTACTCTAACAGTATTGAAAAAATGCATAAGAAATTTACTAGATTTATAAGTTACAAATTTAAATTGCCCCATTTGGAGTACATACACCGTTGTCAAAAATTTCATGTATTATTACCACAGACCACATAAATATTATTACCTTTATATCTGCGGAGAAATATAGCTCATGCGTATTTTCTGCTGAACAGTGCACAGAATAAGATTGATTGTCCAGAGCTCCGTAGTAACATTATACTCAAAGATCCAGTTAACAAGTTTCGTAAGAATAATTTGCTTCATGTTCCATTTAGTCGTACTAATTTTAGAATGAATAGTTATCTACCAAGATCATTAACATCATTTAACCAACTCAATGACGACTGTCGCATAGATCTTTTCTGTAATAGCGTTACGAATATAAAAACTATTATGACTAATAATTTATTTTCAAGTGTCTGATAAAGCCATTGTTGTGTTCTCTTCATTAACTTACAAATAAATGGACGACGGGTCTAATACAAAAACCACGAAAAAAATGTCCCAAGTTAACCTATTTAAACGTAGTGACATGTAAAGGAATATGAAAAAGCTAAAGCGTTGAATTTAAATTGTAATGTCATCGCAGTACTGTCTAATTTTGCTTGCTTCACTGTCAGTCGAACAAACGAAGACTAAAGCGCGAATGACGCTCTGTATACGATTTTAACGCCCTATAAGTTCGGACTCTTTTTAGCGCGGACCCGACGTCCATATAATTGTAAGTCAATGGTTCTCTTAAAGTGTTATTTACTTATTTATGGTTGTGTTATATTCTCATTTTCATATGTGGAAGCTTTTAAATGGCATCTGAATATTTATATTTAAACCCATGTTGTAAAAGTAGCTGTAAGCTCCCCGAATATAATAAAATAAAATTGTGGGACATAAATAAGCGCTACAGTGGCGCGGCGAGCGACTGTGCGTCTGACTTAGGGCGTTTGCGCATTGCCTATTCGGATTCGGAGAATATACACTTCTAGAAAACGCGAATCGACTCGACCGACGAACTCGACGCACTCGACGACTCGACGATCGAAGTAATGATATCACTTGTACACTTAGAGATTAAAAATTCAAGCCATTCTAATGTTGTGTGGCATTCAACGTTTAAGTGGTTCGTTATTACGAACTTTCAGTCGTCGTTAACTGTAAGTATGGTTATTGTATGTATGAAAACGCAAGATAAATATATTTGAGTTCTAGGTACAGGTTTTCCTGATGAACCTACATTTCAGAGGAATTTATAATAATCACGATGAACTGAGGTAAGGTAGCGAGAAATCTTTTGATTATTACCAAATACAAATTATTGTAACTGCAAAACCGACGCGCGCGTATCACGGCAGTGGCGCCACGGCAGCGTTTCTACAAATGTGTAATTTGATGGCGCTCTAAGTCTGCACAAAAGATCGGTGAAGGATAATGCAAAACGAAAAATGTACGTAAATGCAAAACAACACCAACAATTTCATTATATAATGAGCACTCGATCACACACATTATTCAAAAAAACAAAGTCCGTTACATTATTCCTTAATCGTAGTTTTAAATCAAGTTCGTCTATCTCTAACTTTGAACCACAAAAATACCACAAATACTAAACCGATGTGGACTCGATATATATTTCTATAGGAAGGCAATTTGCAATTTAATTCTCAGTAATTTTTTTCACTTTTTGATTGTTTCTAATCATAATTGAATTAGATGATAACAGCTGGTGTTCGTTACAAAGCTTGGCCTGTTTAGAAACAATATTCATTCCTAAACAGAAGACACAAACACGAAAATTATGAAGACATTCTAACTCAGGTGTCTAAAGCTCCAAATTGACAAGCTTCCTTAAGTTTTTTCATTTTGTCAACGTTTATTACGTCATAAATATATGTTTTCTCAGAATTAGTTTAACTCTAATGGTATGGCATTCTCTTCGCTGTCCGCGCTTTCTGTTTGCTCTATTTCTGGCAGTTCTCTCAGCACTCTGTCGATCCACACTCTGCTGTATGACACCTGGAAAACGCATTAGAAATTATTCACCATTCCGTCTTCAAACATGACACGACAATGGTGAATTAGGGCTCACAAGGTGGGACAAAGAGGTTCAGGATTATAAAGAGCTGCAGTGACGTATGCTCCAAACCCATTAGCATTGTCGTAAAATTGAAAATGAAGAAAGTAAGGAAGCAAGAAGGCAACTACCCACTTGACATGCCACCTTGCCGTGATATGCCGATGGCATCAAATCCCTGGCCGCTCTTTGCTGGGTATGGTTGCTTTTCTATTATCTAGATAAAGGGCAGCAGATTACCTTAGCAAAAACTCCAGGTTTACTCTTGTATGAGCACTCTTCAATTCCTGAGAATAGCGCAATACCAAACAGGGTTCCATCTCGATTGACACCGCTGAAATGTACCGCCGGGTCGCCAATGTCCCCCTAGCACAGCAAATACAATTTTAGATCTACTTAGTTTAGAATTCTAAAAGCTATTCATAATGCTAAATAGCAAAAGAAAAAATTGGCAACGGTATCAATGAATTTTTTCATTGATACCGTTTTGTTGAACAAATTGTAAGCTTCTTAATATTATCCCTCAGTGTTTGGATTCGGTCAACCGTATAAACCAATTTTTTGTTAGCATTGGCATGTCTCTGGCAGAAGACGTTATTAAACAAACTGCGATTCTGAGTAAAATTATCTCCACTGATACTATGAACACTCAAGTATCTACTTTTGTGTTGCTCGATGTCTGTCCTGAGAAGGTAGATAACATACTGATGGGGCTGGACTCTAGCAGTGCTCCTCGATGGGACTGGATATCGACCAAATTCTTACAATTAACTCGCGACTGCATCGTTCCACTAATAAGTCAACTAGACAACTTGTGCTTCAGAACTGGAATATTCCCCATTGCTCTGAAATGCTCCATCATTACCCCTGTGTACAAGAGTGGGGCCAGAGACGACAATAATAACTACAGACCTATATCTGTACTGCTGTGTATTTCCAATATAGAAAAGCTACTTAACATTAACATTAGATTAATAAACTATCTCAACAAATTTAAGATACTATCTAAAACCAATTCGGCTTTAGGAAGATTTTGTGGACGCAGGATGCTGTTTTAACGTTAACTTCTGTTATTTCAGAGGAGGTCGATAAGAAAAGCAAATGCGTCACGATCTTTTGAGATCTTAAGAAAGCTTTTGACACAGTCTCAGTTACTATTCTTGTACGTAGGCTTGAAACCATTGGCATAAGAGGCACTGCTCTCTCACTTTTTGAAAGCTATATTTTGGATAGATCACAAACTGTTAAAACGACAAATTTTGTAGTGATGAAGAAAAGATCTCCTGCGGGGTTGCTCAAGGTAGTGTACTCGGTCCGACTCTATTCTTCTTGATATATACAAATCAATTATGGGAATTAGAGATCGGTGGCGGACGGATATTCACCTACGCGGATGGTTTGCACTGGAAAGACATTAGACGCAGTTAAGTGGACTGCTGAAACAGGTCTAGCGAAAATAGAAAGAAAAGATAACTGTTTATTACACAAGCACAGATACGCATATAAACAAAACAACAGAGGAGCAATAATAATATTAGTAATAACAATAAAATTTCAAAATTAATCTTTTAGGCTTTTGGGAGAGGTGAGAGTCTAAAATAGATAACGATAATAATAATAATAAAAAATTAAAATAATTGATATAATTATGCAGTACATAATTCAACAAAATAGCTAGTTGGCTTAATTCTAATCTCCTCGCCCTGAACGTAACAAAAACAAACTATATTTGCTTTGCTGCCTACGTAAACTCTCAGCCAGCGATTGACTTCGTTATATAGAGCCACACCTGTGGTGAGTGTTACAATCAAATCTACAACTGTTCGTCTATTACAAAGGTCAGCGATACTAAATATCTGGGAATTATAATTGACCAAAGGTTTTCGTGGCATTTGCATCTGGAGTTGATTATGGATAAAATTAGGAAACTTGTATGGATTTTTAAAACTCTAAGACAGGTAATGGATAGAGAGTTGCTAACCAAAATCTATGTAGCTCTTGTTCAGTCAGTTATTGTTTACCAGTATGGGGTAGTAGAACCAAAATCAAGTTCATTGACATAAAGAGGGGTCAAAAAGCCCTTTCGATTATGTATTTCAAACTATTTACAATTTCTACAGATATTCTTTATAAAATCGGTAACCTTGAGTATCAGAAATAATAATAATAATAGAAATAAATAAATTTTTAAAATTGTTTTGTAATCATCTTGTCGAGAAATGTCCATTACTGTCATAGACTGCTAAGCTCTTGAAAGAATTCATGAATATTTTCCTATGAAGTTTGGAAAAATCAGAGGCTTATAATTATGACGGCATCGACATCTTTCGTTAAAGGAAACTTTTGACTGACAATGGCACAGGGCTGATTCAATATAAATAATATTAAAAACAAACTAACAGCACACAAAGCGACTCCCTTCACGACGCTCTGTAAGCACATATGGTCGTGTTGTAGTTGATAATCGTTCCCATAGGCCAGTCTACATTCTGATCTAGGTATTTCTTTGACAATCATTCTCCGTAACTCCTGATTTTCTCCTTCTCGAATCTGGCCGGAAACCTGAAAGAATTTTGCTCTTGGTGGATTAAGATAATCTTCAAATGTCAGAGATTTAAATATTGTAAAATTAAAGCAGTATAAACGAAAGTAGTGGAACTGCCTTAATGCAGTGTCTATTTATATCAATAATAAATAAGTGCCACAGATACGTCTGACGCGCGATGGTGAGTACGATGGCAAGCATTACAGTTTATGCCATCGATACTATAAAGAGAAAAACTGGAAGTACCACAGATCCGTATCCCGTGACAATAGTTTCGCCCGAGTGAGGTGGCATATCAGCATTTGCGATGGCCAGCTTTACTGGCTGCGATCTTGCAGAAGGATTTATTATAATGTTGACCTGAAAGATATCATAACGATTTGGAACACAGATAATGATAATGGTGTAAGAAACATTATAATTTTAAAGGCGTGCGGTACATGTTATGTAGTTGCAGATGCAGTAGATACATTGGAACAATTTTATATCTTTTCTACATAAGTTTTATTTATAGTGACCCTCCGTGTCGACCTCTTTATACACAGGGACCTACTCAGGCGGGTCCTGACTCTAGATCAGCCCGTTTGCACGAACTTGTGCCTTGGGTGAGTTGCCCCGGGTGCACATACAGTACCTTCCTTCTTTTCCAGATTTCCGGAGTTGTAGGCACGCTCACTTCCCTTTTGCGCATTGCGCAACTAACGTTTGCCACCGCTAAGCCGTTGACTCTAAAGTTCACTACCGAATCTCGTGGAAAGCAAGCACATGGGTGGCAAACAATGTACCTCTACGTAATAGTTGCTCCCGTTCTTAGTCAACGACACGGTGCATGAAGATGCTTCCCCAAATGACGTACCATTTGTTTCTTAAGCGTCTGGGCAACAACCAGTGAGTATCTTACGCCGATGGCTAAATATTTTCACCCCGATGGCTTCGTCAACGTAACTGTCCAATCAGATCAATTAAATAATTAAAAATATAGAGCTACTAACTTTGACCAAGGCAAGGTTGTGTTCTGGGTAGTACTGGTCCATTCTGTAATCGGGATGCCGTTTAATCTCTAACACTGAGAGGATTCTGCCTCCAAAGTCGCGGAAAACCGAGCCAATTCTTATTGATACTTCTTCTTTGGTTACACTAGAGACAAGAAATAATGATAACAACTTTATTCATAACCCGTAAGAAATAGTAAAGAGATAGTTACAGTTGTCTCCTGATTCCGATTAGGCAGGCAACCTTCAGATGCCACAAAGGGATAACCTGCGTTTTTAAAGGTCTATAGGTACTGATTTACGTTAATCCGTACGTACTATAAGACTGCTATAGTTACTAGTTGTAGAAAGTTTTTTTTTGGTTAAAATTAGTTTATCTTCACCTATTATATGTATAATAATATTGAATTATGAAATAATATAGAATAATGGTTTTCGAAATTTTATAATTGTTTTTAGGCCCTCGTTGCTTTTAAGTTCGCCTAAGATCTTAAGGTGGCTGAAAAACACCGCTGTCTGCTACAACAACGGTTCCAGGCCGCACAAGATTTTACCCTCTGACATGTTTGGCGTACCGTTTTTTGTTTCTTTATGTTTTGGCTGAACATGTTATTTATGTCAAAAAGTGTACCTAATCTAAACTTCGAAAGAAAAAGGTTTGTTTTCACAACAAAAGCCAGTTACATGCGAATTTTCGGATGATTAATATACTTACTAGTCGAAGCATTGGGCAGCGGTCAATATCCATTGATTTCCAACGATTGCTCCTCCACACCAATGTTTTCCATGCAATCTATGTAATGTAAAATATGTATTAATAATTTTTATAATTCAAATCTAGAGACTTTCTGATACAAATAGCATAGTACAATTATTACGATGCGATACAAAGCGGCTTGAAATGAATACGAACGAAGTTAGGGCGAATTCAAATTAGATGCTTATAAAAGCACTGCAGTGGCGCCACTATGGCGTTGCTAGTTTTGTAATCATATTTAGAAGCACAGTTGCAGCGTCGCTGCCGTGACTAGGGCTTTCAGTCACGCTCGCTGCATTTTCGCGTCCCGAGAAAAAAGAGATAGAGACTCAGTGCTGTCTCGAATCCATGGGAACTGTAAAGAGCCCGAAACGTCGGTTTGTTTCAAAAAACAAATATACGCGATTTAAATCCGGAAAAATAGTTTCATTTCCTATGTGTAACAATCGCGAAAACCTAAGAGAAAGGTTTTAGTTTAGCAAAACGGGATCAATGGCGAGAAGCGCCATCTACATTCAAAAAGACCAATTGGTTATGTCACAGGGATAGGGGGCCCTCGCTACACCGGATCGGTCACTTGCGAGTACCCTTTTGGCGCGCTAGATGGGGTTGATAAGCTATTATACTAAATATTGTGTTTTTAACCGATTTCAAAAAAAGGAGGAGGTTCTCAATTCGACTGTATGTTTTTTTTTGTATGTATGTATGTTACGCGATAACTCCGGTATTTGTGAATCAATTTTCATGATTCTTTTTTTGTTGGAAAGAGGGTACCTCCATAGTGGTCCCATTTAATTTTGAAGAAAATCATCCACCTCTAAGGGTGGTTGTTCACGCATGAAGATTCATTTTTTTATATAGCGCCTAAATTTTAGTACAATTACCAATTATTTCAATGGTTGATTTTGCTATTCTTTAATTCAAGGCGGTTTTCTCTCAATATACTTTGAGTAGTGAGAACCGATTTTTATTATCTCCTGTGTCGAGTCCCGTATAGTGGCGAACTAGGGGATGAATCCCGATTTGCGCTCTTTCCGGTAACCGATTTCAATAAAACGTGGTAATTATATGTAATTCCACATACTTTTGAGGTCGGTTCTTTAGACTATTTTACGAAGCAGAATTCTTACCTGATAGATACAGTATATGGATAATCCTCCAAACAGACGAGACCAGTTTCTGTTGTAAGCCGTTTCCGGCGCACGTGTGTCAGGTCTTCCTCCAGCTTTGGCGGGAACTCGCATTCTAACTCCGACTTTGTAGTCACCGTAGTTGCTGCTGTAGAAAACATTATTAACTTCAAACTTCTTCGCTATCGTACCTACGGCTGGGACGTCGACGCCTATGAATTTGATCGGCGTAAAATCGACGTGGTGAAAGTTTGTTTTATTTTAATTAAATGTCAGCTGCATTGATAATTATTTATATACAAACCATATTTGTATTGCAAAAACGAGCGATTCGTTCTGTTCGTTCACTCGGGTTTCTCTCAGAGAAAAGTTTAAGGAGACTGGTATCATGACTGTGGCATCACAGTACATTTACTCAAATATTTTATATGCCCGTAAAAATATACATAATTTCAATAAGAAAGAAGATATCCATAATAGTAACCTTAGAGCTAAGTCCAAACTCTTGGTACCACGATTTCGTTTAACCAAGGTAAACAACTTTTTATGGGGAACTGTATACGTTTTTACAATAAGATTCCGGAGAATATATTAAGATTATCATTACCTAAGTTTAAAAACTACATTGAAAATATTTTGATCGAAAAATCATATTACAAAATTGAAGTCTACGTGTTAGATAAAGATGTATGGAAAAACGACACGGCTCCAGAATCTAGAAAGCTACTGCTCGTTCACTACGCTGACCTCCCTGGTCAGCGGCAGCGTAGTGAACGAGCAGTAGCTTAAATGTGACGTTTTTAACTGTAAATTTATTTTACCTATGGAATAAATAATCTTTAGCTTTGGCTTTGGTTTCAATTAGTTCCTGAATGGATTCGCACAGGCTGCATATTGTAAAATATCATTTGCTGCATATTAAATGAGCTTGTCTAGTGTTGACATGTATGAAACTAGTTAGGTATGATATTAGGTTTTTTTTAATTTTTTTTATACATGACATGCAGATGACTCCATTCCACCTGATGTAAAATGGAATCTAAACGTGAAGGAAGCTAGTAGGTACAGTGTTAATATAATCACCGCCCTAGCCATCTCCACCCTGCATGCCTACAAGATGCATCTTCACGCCTCGTTTGAAAGACCCCATGTTGTAAGACGGAGGGAATACGTTCCTTGGAAGGGATTTCCATTTGTCAACTGCCACCAAAGCTTTTAGTTCTCGATGAAATATGGTTAGTTATAAAACGGTGACTACGAAGGCCAGTATGCGTGCTTCGGAGCCGGAAAGGGGAGGGCAGGATAAGGTTGAACAGTTCTTCAGAGCAGTCGCCATGGTACATACGATAAAAGGCGGTAAGTGATGCAACGTCTCTACGCAGTTTTAGAGCTTCAAGGCGTGATGAGACCTCTTCAGTGGTATAATTGCAAAAGGTTAATGATCATAGTTGTTGCTTTACTATTGCATTAAGTTAAATCTGTCATAATACTTTAAGTGTTTTTAAAAATAAATAATTAAAAAACCCTGATTAAAATATGTCATAGTTCAGTCATAGTTTTATAACATCTATTTTCGATTTCACGAAATTTGACATGTTTTTATAATCACGGTTTTGAGCACGAATCACGCACGATTCACGGTTTTTTCAAAATGACCACCGCAAAAATATAACAATAGGATAATATCATTTGATCCTCAAAGAAATAATTGATCTTATCGCTTGGCAGGTGAGTGAAACTCCGATGTGGAAAGTTGGCAGAAGTATATTTTATTTGTTTTTTTTGAAGGACGCTTTGCAGTTGGCCGCTGATGGCCTTGGCTGCGCCACCGGATAAAGAGGACGAGCTGAAGGCTCATAACCTGTAACATAAATTACAAACTAAACTTAAAACTAAGTAGCGGACCTGAGGGCGCCCAAGTGGGCACGGACCTCGGCTCAGGGCGCTACTGAAGACTTCCGCCAGAAGGGTATGTTGAAATGAGGGATATTTTATTTGTCAAAAAGGAGCTATATTTGTACTAAATCCAAATACAAAATTAAGCCAATGAGAGAGCCTACATTAATGTAACCCAATCAGAGGCCCCGCATTAAATGTGAGAGCGAGACAGACGAACTGCTGTCTCGCTACTATAACAAATACGCGGTGTGTGGCCTCGCTGCGCGCCAACCAGAACAACATCAGTCCTCCATCTCAACAAGCACCAACCGTCCACGCCGGCGAGGTCGTAGAGCCCCTCATTCACTGATAGATCCACTCCTATAGCACGCCCTTCTGGCGGAAGTCTTGAGTATCGCCCTGAGCCGAGGTCTGTGCCCACTTGGGCGCCCTCAGGCCCTCTACTTAGCTTTAAGTTTATTTTACGGGTTATGAGCCTTCAGCTCGCCCTTCCGGTGGCGCGGTCAAAGCCATCGACGGCCAATTGCAAAGTGTCCTTCAAAAAAAAAACTCGCCGCGCAGAACAGATGACCGTTGCGGCGAACGAACGTTGATGCTAGTTCTAACAATCTATAGTGTTTTTTTTTTATATAAATGATATTTTTTTTATGCTTTAGTATATATATTAAATCGCTTCATCTATATTAGTTGATTTATGATAAATTATAAATGAACGTAATACTATCATTATAAACATAGTAAATTAATATTTGGTATTCAAAAATAATATTTGATCTTCTTTTTTATTATTGGTGTTTTCTTTTAACGATTGATGACATTTATAACCAATATATCTTTTGATATTAATTTCCTAATAAATATTGGTTGCTTGGTTGCGCTCTTCATTCAGCAGATTAGGTTAATATGTGTAATAGTAGCATGAGCCGAGCGGGCGAAGCGAGCGTGCCGTGGCAGCGGCAGACGAATGCCAGAAGCCAATTTGCTTGCGAACTGTTTTCAGGTCAAATTATGTTATAATTAATATAATATTAGTATACAAATATAATCAATCAATTTAAATCTAATATCTGGCAGTTGCTGGCTAATTAGACGCCTTAGCTTGTCCCGAAGGACGAAGAATTTTGCACAGTGTATCTTTTAAGTATCCATGTTTTTTTTTTATTTAAGGCATGTACATACCACAGAGATTTATGGTTTGAATGGTTTAGATATAAATAATAAATAAATATCAGACAACAACACGTTTCACTGATCCCAAAGTAAGTAACTAAAGTACCTACTTGTGGTATGGAAATCGGAAACAACGGCGGTACCACCCAGACATGAGACAATTCAGAAAACTTAGCTTTCTATATTGGCCCGGTCGGGGATTGAACCTGGGACTTCAGAGATCGCGAGGCGACACCATGAAAACCGATGTGCAAGCCACTTGATCAAGAAGGTCGCCAAAAATATAATATACCTAAAGGTTTGAACTACCGCCTCTCAAGCAAATGGTCGTGGGTTCAAATCCGGGCATGCACCTCTGAGTTTTTCGGAATTTAATTTGAAAATTACCATAAATTTTTCAGTGAAATAATTTTTAAATTTCGTGAGGAAAACCTGCGCAGTGCACACGTCTGTAAAGCAATTTAATAATGAGTTACCAATCCGCATTCATTCAAAGGCCCGTGTCCAGCAGCCGGGTTAACTACTAAAGAAGATGCTATAAACACGATCTCACTCGACTCAACTTGAAGTTTGTACAAAATAATTCAAGTTACAACTAGTGTTTTTAACCGACTGTATTTTTTTTGTATGTATGTGATGCGATAGGCATGAAGTCATTTGTGAACCGATTTTTATGATTTTTCGCAGGATAGAGGGTACCGCAGTATTGGTCCCATTTAAATTCGAAGGAAATATTCCACCTCTAAGGGTGGCAAACTAGGGGATGAATCCGGTTTCGCGCATTGTCCGGTAACCGATTTCAATAAGACTTGGTAGATGTTATTCCACGAAGTTTTGAGGTTGGTTTTTTTTATAAAAAAGTTATTATTAAAACATTGTACAAAATCGCTTACCGCTGTCAACAAAACCCTTAAACCTACTTAAAAATGCAATCAATACTAAATAACTATAACACAACATCACTATCTTTATCCAGTGTCCATTGTACAATTAATAAAATTTCAAAAATCCTAAATAATAACTCGACCAAAAGGTACGGTGTGTAAAATAGGAATAAACTCAATCATTGTTATGAAGTCGTGGTAAAATGGCGATTATATAACTGTGTTACAATCGTTTTTCTTGAATAGGATTTATAAAACACTTGTTATGTGTTTTAAGTTACCTGCTCGAAAGAAAAGCATGTATTTGAATCGCCACAATGCTAAAGTTATGCACGCCTATTATTTCCAATGGAAAGGAAGACAATGCACATTGACAGCATATTTAAAAAAAAACATACGAGCATTGGAAAATCGTAAATATGTTTTGTTTTTTCAATAATAACATGGTGTCAGACTAGGGAATTCCTTGTACTTGTATTAATTCCGAGGCACTATATACATATAAAGCCCGTGGCCTGTTTCGGGGCCCGTGTCGCGGGTTCCATCAAAACGTGCCGTGGAAAGAGGGCCGCCCGAGCGCGCCCGTGCTGGCCTGGGAGAGCACAGCCTATGCTCTCGATACAAATTTGAATACGCACCGCCACGAGTGTCGGCCCGAGGCCGCTAGGACTCGCCCGTTTCGCGAGCTCGCTCGTGCAAATCGGCCCATTTGATATCACGGGCCGTGAGAACGCACCATAATACAGATCAGTCTCAATTCAGAAAAGTGTATATTGCTCCAAATGGAACTAAAAACATAAATTTATTTTTTTATTAAAAAATACTGACAGACATAACATTAAAAGCTCGCGTTCCATGGCCCGTCATAAGTTATGTGTAAAACTTAATTTAATTATTGTTTTAATAATTAAATTCTAATGACTCATTACGTTACAAAATGAGAAGAAATGGTAAGCAATAACAAAATACAGACAATAAGAAGATAATACTTGCCTAGATATGCTATGCTGAATACTATTTTTCAGGTTTTTCTGTCAACATATTTGATACACTTTGCATTGAAATCGACATCGAGAATGAACGAATTGTCAAAACAATGTAGACTTGGTTTTTTACAATTTTATAATTCAATCTTATCTCTACAATTGTTCAAGACAATAGTCCAGCATTCACTACAATAAAGTAACCTTTTTTCCAGGCTCTATTGTCGAAATTTAGTATTTAGCGTCAACTTTACCAGTATTTGGTTTCATTTGGACCATTTGTAATTCGAAAATGCATCGAAAGATTTAAAATAGTTCCGAAAAACACAAAAACTTATCAATGTATACTTACTTAGCAGTTTGTTCTTGATTTTGTGGAAATATTTGGCGTTTTGGCAAAAAAGAAAATGTATCTACATTGGATGCTGACTTTGATATTAGTTGCTAGAACTAGCTGTCTAGACTACGAGCAAGATACACTTGACGAGTATTCAGAAGAGGATTCGGAATCGTCGAGTCATCAAGTTGGTAAACCTGCGTCGAAGAAATACGGTGTGAACTACACAGACGATGGACTCAAGGGAAAGATAAAACGGCTACTCAATAAGACTATAATCGAAGAAAGTGACGAGAACAATGATTTATCAGGAACCCAGAAGACTAACGATGGTAATGTAAATTTCTATCCATATGAAACTAAATTTTTTTAGCTGCTAGCAGGTGTGGAGTTCGTCCAGGACGTGACACAGAGACTGACACCTTACGTATTTCTGCCGCCATGCAGTAGCAATGTGAACATTACAGCTTTCCAATTTTGAAGGTTTACCTTTCAATAATAAAGCTACCTGTCAAAAGTGCTTCTAAGTACCACATGTAGCCATCGAGTATATAACCAGAAATAGAGAAGAAATGTCGTTTAATTTGTTTGAAAACTATTCTGCCAAATCATTACTTTTGGCCAGCCTGAATTCGAAACAATTAACGGGTGTCGTCAATTGTTTCACTTCAAATCGAAAAGTTTAACTTGAGCTTTGCTATAATGGACGAAAATTGAAAAATTACATATTTAATATTTAATTCCCGATGAAAAGTGATTCCGTTTGTTTTGTAATTAGATGTTTTGCTGTTTTTCCCACGCTATTGAATGGATTATGGAAGTTATTGTTAAAGATGTTATTGTTAGAGATGTTATCTTTATTACAATAAATACAGAATATTTTTGGTATATACGGAGATGTACACACAGGTCAATTATTGGCGCTGTACTATTTCAGCTTTCTAATTTGTAATTTCAGCGCAAACGAGAGTTGATATTTTAAAGTGATATAAGACCAATTTGTCTGATGAGTTGCCAGGGATGGATGGCCCTTATTTCGTCTCTATTTCTGGTTATATACTCGATGCATGTAGCAGTAGAGCTTTTTATGAATGAGGTCGTCCAGGGCAGTACTGACACCAGTGATGGGTAGTCGGTTAATACCTAATCAACCCGCCCGTGTTTTAACCGTGTTTTTATCCAAATTACCGGGTTTTTTCCAAATTACCAATTATATAATTAACTGCCTCCGTGGCCGAACGGTTGCCGGACTGCCACGCAAAGGCCCCAGGTTCGATTCCGGGGCCGAGAGAAATATTTGTATGGCCTACATTTATTTCTCTCGTGAGTTTGGGTGTAATTTGTGGTTGTCTATGTGTGTGTCCATGGCACCCGCCACACAGGGTTTCCCTAGTGCGGGGCTATGTTGAGTGTATGCGTTATTATATAATATAATTATCCAAATTACCATTTCTGCACAAAATCGTGGGCGTTTTCAGCGATTACGGAATTTGGTGTAATTCCATACTTGTTATTACTAATTTCGATGTAAAAAACTTTTTTAGTCAACTTCACACAACACCCTCCTTGCAGTCGTGTAGATTCTCATTACTAATGATGCACATAACGTTACGATCTTTTGCATCGATTTATTTCAATGCTATTTACAAGCGAATCGATTTAACTGAAAGGCAAATCGAATCTTCTAGATCAGAAAGATAAGAACATTTTGAAATAACATCAATATTTAGTTGTGAATAGTTTTAGCCCTCGAATATGGATTTTAGACCCGAGCGCTTGTCCATCTCTGATTGCCATTTTACCCATTTCTGCCGCCAAGCAGTAATTGCTGAGTTCCTATTTTGCGCCCCTAAGATTTTTGCGATTTAAAGCTCTGAGTTGCACTGCAACTGCAATGGATAAGCGTGATGTAAACCAGGTACTTGACTTCATCCCATCACTTGGTATGGTATGGGTGTGCGATGTTGTAAAAATATCGATATCGTTCATGATAGTTTTTTTTTATCAATAACCATCAAACTAGCGATGCGTCAGCAATTGATAGATTAAACAAATTGATAACATGTTAGAATGGGGATTCTAGTTTGTTTTATTTATGGCGATACGTGTGGAAAATCCCCAATCGAGTTTATATTTCCTGCAATGTGGGGAGTTCCCTACAAATTGGCAACACTGGTTTTAACGGTTTTTCTTTTAACGCCAGCGCCACTTGTAGGAATTCTATGAAAGTTTTTCTTCACTCAACCACCCTTACAGCTCGGCTACTCCAGAGCACAACCTAGTAAGGAACAAATTTTTTGAAAATATTATTTTTAACGGTATATTATTCCTACAGTAATTACTCACCTAATGGTGTTGACAGCTGCTTCAAAATTCTACAATTTATCAGAGATTTCGAAACTTTAAAAACTTAGTAATGCACATCCAGGCTGGTTCGTGACTACCCAAAAATCTTTTAAGTCACTTTAACTAATTCAAAGCATATTTACATAGCAAGTATTTGATGCTTTCCAGGTTTTAAAGTAGTTAAAGTGCCTTCCTAGGTGTTTGAATTGGCAATTACAGGATAGTGGAACTTACAGATACTGAAAATATTAGAATCAAATTTTATACCAAATTTTCTAATGCAATAACTATACCTAGCAAATGTTTTTGTTATGTTTTGCTTATTATTGTGTTTTGATTTTGGCTGCTACAATAACTAGTATATTACAACTAGTATACTAGCAGTAGAGCTCCTTGTGAAAGAGTTCGTCCGGGGAAGTACTGCCATCTTACCTATTTCTGCCGCCAAGCAGTAAGACAGCATTACTGTGTTCCGGTTTTGAAGGTAAGGGTGCTGGTGAAAATACAGGCACATGGGACTTGTCAACTTATGTCTCAGGATGACGGGTACAGTGCTCCTAAGAGCGTTGCGATTTAAAGCTCTTAGTGGCACTGCAACTGCTTACCGCCAGTTACGACTTGTTCGTCCCGTTACTTGGTATTATATAAAAAAAACTTTACTTATGTACGTAAATATTTAAAGTTAGTAAGGGTGTAAAATTTGTAATATAAAACCATTTTTGTGACATTAATAAATTCGTTTATTGGTCTCCTAAACTGCTGAACATAGGCCTCCCCTAAAGATTTCCAGACCAGCTGATCGGACGCGACGTGCATCCATCGGTTTCCCGCCGCCCTTACCATGTCATCCGTCCATCTAGTAGAGGGCCGTGCCACTGAACGCCTTCCGGTTCGTGGTCTCAATTCCAGAATATTTCTACCTCAACGGCCGTCAGTTCTACGAGTTATGTGCCTTCTACGAGTTGCTAATCCTTCGAGCTATGTCGGTGACTTTCGTTCTTCCACGGATCTCCTCATTTCTGATTCGATCGCGTAGAGAAATGCAGAGCATTACTCCCTCCATAGCTCGTTAAGTAACTTTGAGCTTTTTTATGAGGCCCATAGTTAGTGACCACGTCTCAGGGCCGTAGGTCATCGCTGGCAACATGCACTGCTCGAAGACTTTTGTTTTCATGGACTGGAGCTTCCCGAAAGCTGCCTAACCGAGTCGGTTCGACGATTGACCTTTCTCGAAGTTGGCCCTGCCTAATTGGACGGTTTGTCCGAGGTAGACATACTCGTCAATCTATCATCATTGCTTTATTACGTTAAAAGTTTAAGGTCGATCTTGGTTTGTGTTTTTGGGCTGTCCTGTAAAATTTTTTCTAGAGCGCTTACTAGGTTTTGCTACGGGGCAGCCGAGCTACCAAAGGTTGACAAGAGATGTCGCTTTTTAAATTCTAATATTGATTGTAATGAACATTATGATGTTTGCTACAATGATATTCGTTCATTCGGACGTATATTTCAAAATAATAATCCAGTAACGGTCAATGTTCGCCGCGATAAAGTATTTGTTAGTTGAAATAGAATTTCACAAAGCATACATAGGTAGGTACGTAGCGCAATGTTTCAAGTATATACACAATATTGAAACACAATGGTAAACTGCAGTACAATGCAGTTTTTATCATGTGTGTCGTTGCATTTTTGTAATAATATTTACGATTAGAAATGAATTGTACCTATATCGGTTTTTTCAAACAAACCCACGTTCCAAGCTCTAGGTCCCGTAATTACGGCTAGCTGAAATGTTATTGGTCATCAAACAGTCGTGTCCTAATATTAATGCAATGCAAACTCTATTCTATTATTTAGTTACAAAAATTATTAATTCAATGTCTCGACGTTTAGAAATCCAATTCATCATCATGGCGTCTGTTTTGTTATCCAATCTTGGATGTAGGCCTTTTCCCTCTTTTTCCACTCTTGTACGACTCATCCAGTACCGACCTTCGTGTCGTCGACATCCGAATGTCGTCCACTCAGCACTACGGTGGTCTGCCGCGCCCTCTGAAGTCCGCTCTGGGTCTCCACTCAAGTACTCGCCTTGAACAGCGCCTCTGGTCCATTCTCGCAATGTGCCCCGCCGACGCCCATCGTTTTTTCGCCGCGACAGCCATGACATCTTTGGTTCTACTTCGAATCCAAGCGACGCTTTTTCGGTCTCCCGACGGACTTTTTTGTACCGGCCATGATACACTGTTCGAAGACTTTAACTTTGAGATGTAAGGGTAATTTGCCACGTTTGTTTGTTGGCACCGAATGCAGCCCACGCCTGAGCGACCCGTCGTTCCATTTCCGCTGTTTGGTTCTGAAAGCCCAGTGTAACCTTCTATGTATGCGGTTATTTTCTCCACTGGAAGCTGGTAGTTTGTGACTTTAGGAATGTTGTTCATGATCTTAGTTTTCCCAACAATGTTCATTTTATGTCCATTTTTTTTTTGTGGATTTACTCCACTAGTTTATAAATTATTAATACAAAGATCGAACACTATGGCTACTAACAGATTGACTCCATGTTTGCAGTTAATGCGGTCGACTCGACTGCATGAAGTTGATAACGACTTCGCGCATATCACATGCAATATGGTTAAAAAGAAAAAATTAAAACATGTCATTCACTCCCGCTACCCCACAGTATGTCAAATGGGAGCCAATTTAATTACAATGTGAGATAAAAATGAATGAAAATAAACAGGAAACTGTTAAAAGAGTATCTAGTAGATATTGTAATGGTTTTTTTTTCTATTTTTATTGTAAATACAAGTAGTATCCATGCATTTTAATGCTTGCCTGAGATGGTGCAATTTGTAAACATTTATAAGCGCGGAGCGAAAAACACACAACTATCTCGTATAACTAAACGCGGAGTTCTGCGGAGGAGCCCGCGAGAGGCGAACATGGTTGACCATTAACGAAGACATAGGAATGCCGTTTGCACAAATACGAGCATTGGGAAATTCCAGTTTAACACCGCTCTCAGTACCCGCTGGCTCCCAATACCCCAAGTACCGTCTCGCTTAATACCAGGCACTCAACTTGACCGATCCGTCACTTGAAGTCATACAAATTTCAAAACATTCTTCCACAGGCAAGAACTCTGCACAACCCGCAGAAGAGGAAGAAACGGACAACAGAGCGTCGAGTACATTATTTAACTACCCATTCTCAGTGTCCATTCAACGCAAAGGAGCTCATTATGCCACTGGAGCTTTGGTCGATAAAAGATGGATACTAAGCTGTGCTGGGGAATTTTATAAGTAAGAATTTTAATTTGTTTTAGTTTATTAATTTTAGTTTTTAAAAATATCAACCTAAGGATGGTTTCCGTAGGGCGTAAATCCTAAAGGCGCTCCCACATCGCGAGCATTCGCCTGTAATGTAACATCCAAGATTCGATTTCGAGCATTACATTATAATACTGCCGCCGCTCACCGACGAGCACTCGTGGGCACTTGCGGGTCCTCGCGCGCACTCGTGGGCACTCGCGGGCACTCGTAGGCACCTAACTTAAGTAAAGACTTGAAAACATATCCACTATAGGTATCTGGTGGAGTCGCAGCCTTACAATCTGAACAGATCGTTACATTACAGGCGAATGCTCGCGGTAAAAAGCGCCCTAAACTCTAGAACGATCCGGATCTAAGCTCGATATGTGGACGGTTTCTCCAGGCTTCATCGTCGATAGCATACATAAAGCTTGTCATCATGGTAAAAGGATTTGTTAATACGGTACTCGCTGATCATTACCCAGGGTGCGTCAGACATACAGAACAGAGCGGGGTGGCTCCTTTCATTCTCCCGGCTTAAAACCTGTTAGATTTGAGCGCGTATTTTTTAAAAACAATCTGTACTACCTCGGCTCGAATCGAATTTTTTCCGTAAATCGTACTAATACGGTTTATTTTGCTTAGATCGCGTTGCAGTGACACTGGCTTTAATGCGGAATTTCTTTTTTTACAAACGAATTTGAAAAATGTATATCGTTATACGTGTTCTATTTAGAAAGAAAGAAGAAAGAAAGAAAATATATTTATTTGGTCCACATTACATTGACAATAACTACTTTACAACTACAAAAATAAGGAACCAAAAAGGTCACCACTCAGCATGTGCCAGTTTGCTCACGGAGAAACAGACCGGCGCTGATATTCTGTGGTCACCACAACAGAAAGGACACTACTACAACGAACATACACTTTAACAACAGGAACCTATACATACATCAACTTAACATAATATAAAATATATAGGTTTTTAAACATCACAGCAAACAAACAATCATTAAACAATGACAACTCTTACCACATATAAAAAATATATACACTATAAAATAATATAACATAACGTATGCTGGCCTAAATAAACTACACAAAAAACAGACAAAAAAAATGAAATAAAATGAAAATTAAAAACAATAATAAAACAAATCAAGAAAAACACTTCACTTAAAAAATACCCCACTCGTCGTACCTCTTTTGATTATCCATTTAGTTCAGTTGAAACAAAATCATTGGTATGTAAAGTATTTGTTGAATACAGTTTTCTTGTAAAATTTCGAGGCAGGTTTGTGTTTTATTCTATCGAGAATATTTTTAGGAATCGTGTTTTCACACCGTATGCTCAGTGTATATTTTTAATTTTGCTACAATTTTTTTTCAAATTGATTGATTCAACAGTTTCGCTGTTATGAAGAATCAACGAAAGCCATTAGAGGTGGTGTACAATTTTAAGTTCCATTTGTATTTCGTCATGAAAAAAGAACAAAATCAGACTGTAATCCGGAAATAATTGAAAAAGTTACCTTTTAAAGAATATCATGATGTTTCTAGATCGAGTCAGCAGATCGTACGAATTTCTCTATTTGTCTGTCACAGATGTTTGTATCGGGTTACTACTTTCATTATGTTCATGTATTTTTTGGGAAAGTACTGCACTAGTTTATTATTATTATTGATACAAAGATCTATACAATACAATACAATACAATACGATACATATATAATACAAAGGACTACATGGACATGGAACGCAAGCGCAGGGCATTGTCGATGAGGGGAACAGCTCTAAAGCTCGCTCAGAGCCCTTATAACCATAACGCCTTCAGGACTTCTGCAATGCATCTGCCATGTTTGCTGAATCTCTCGTCGACAGCTTCATGTCACTCTTACGGAACGGCATCTTTATTAAACAGAATACGAGGCGGCAGCAACGGTCTACTGAAGACTATAGCGGAAATTAGTAAAAACCCTGTGATGCGGCATTTAATACAAGCACAAAATCCGAAGTAGAATTTAATTACTAACCTAATTATAAGCTATTTTTGTTACTAACGCTTCATGGATCCATGTTGTCCGTAATAACGATTTATTTTTGTTATTAAAGATCGAACAAACACAGAAAATGTCCTTCAATCACAGGGCTCGAACCAGTGTCTGTTGTCTCACCGTGGCTACAGCTCTTACCAACTGATACTTAATTTTTTTCAGCACAAGAGAATCAATAAAACTCCTTCGAGCGCGTTTAGGCTCTGTTCATTGTAAGAAAGGAGGTCAAGTGGTCCCATTCAAACGTGTAGAGATTCATCCATCATACGTGTACGGAGAACCAAATTTCGACCTAGCTTTGTTGCGAATGGCCCAGCCTGTGGATTTTACGGATTTCATAAGACCTATTGGACTGTCGAAGGTTACAACTAAAGTTGTAAGCGCCAAGTTCATGACCACTTATTGGGCAAGACTAATTGTAAGTATCAGCGTTATCAAGATTTTTTTATATCTTGCTCCATAGTCTTATGGCTTCCTCTGGAGTGGACGTCTCGTTTCTGGGCATACGTCTCCTATAAGTAGACGTTTTAGGCATTTAGGATTAATAACATTTGTTATTCTGCTAAAATCTAGTTGCAATGGCGGCTGAGTCTCAATAGTGTTCGAGGAATGGAAGTGATAGCATTCATTCATTTAATTACTAATGATCTATGTTGCCTTACTAAAACTACCATGGAAATTACTATGCATATCTTAATTTTATTTCGTTTAATCAACAATTTAGTCTTCAAATTAAACATATATAATATTAGAAGACTACGCCATAAGAGCAGTGGCCGTAGCATGGCAGAATATATGTGGTAAACCTCCCCGTGACAGTATTTAAGTCAGTTGATAAATCTATTTGCTTATTTGCTAACGAACTATTGTTATACATTTCTTTTTATAAAAAATAAGTGCGCATTTGACCTCCATCTCACCTCGTCTTACATTTTGAAGAACAACGACAACGATATGAAATCGCTTAATCATCGCCGCAAAAACGATGAAACTAAAAATGTCTTTTCATTACGCTTGTCGCGCTCAATTTTTACGTTGATAAAATTACTGTGCAAATGTTTTAAAATCAGCTGCGATCTTGCAGCCATGTTTGGCACTGTGTTAATCTTTTGCAGTCATTGGTCGCCGGCGGTCGCGATGACATACACATGTGAGGTCACGGTGTTCGCCATGTTCGCTAAAATTTCAAAATTTTATCACAATAGCGAAATTTTATCACTAGTATTTGACAGCCAAATGTGCATATAATAGGTTTAACGAGGCGGCATACTACAGGGGCAGAATACCAAAGAATGGCAATGACAAGTTACCACTCTTAACTTTTAGCAGAATGCCAAACTTACACAATCCTGCCATTGATTGACACTCTAGCAACACACAACTGAGATGATTTAAAATAAGCAGACTTGGGCCCTGGTCCAATTCGGATAGGGGACTTTGCACATTGCGCCAAGGGTTGTGGAACTTCTTCGGCATGCAGGTTACACTACTGTCTTTTTTTCCACCTTGAGCGAGAAGTACTGCTCATAAACATTCACAAGTGTGCTTGTAATTTAGAAATTACGGATGACATACGGATTTGCATGCACCGTTCTCCAACTGGGCCACCAAACACACCATATAAAAAAAATATTGTTTGTTAGTTAGCTAGCCATCGAGATAATATTCAACTCCCATTGCAATTTTTTGGTATTCTGCTCTTCAATGGCGAAACGATGACTTCTCGATGGTGTAGTCAACTAACATTACATTTCATTTGATGACTAAATTGCGCACTAAATGGGTAAAAACTAAGCTGTACATAGTAATTTTCATGGTATTTTGTAAGGCAACAGCCATCTTTAGTGATGGAATTAATAAATGCCATCACTGCCATTCCACTGACACTCTATTGAGGCTCAACTGCCATTGCAACTAGATTTTAGCAGAATAACAAATATTATCATAATTGCAATATAATTTCAAAGGACTCTGAATGGAATTTCAATGAGCAGACGTTCCAAGAAAATGAACAGACTTGGGGCCCTGGTAAAATGGGTGAACAATGGACTAATAGATGTGTTTAGAAACATATCCTTCGTTGAAAAGGTCTGGGTCTAGACGCGCAGTTATTGTAAGCTGATTATAATGTTAAATGTCAAAAAAAGTACTCGTTTGTTCCGTACCTTAATGCCTCTTTACCTATTCAAATGTCGTGGAAGGATTTTATGGAATATATAAAACGATAATTAATTTTAGGTTAGAGGACAAATTTTGCCAACAACCGCTCAAGAGAGGATCAAGACACACAGCATGAGGGTGTCCACACAGCGGTTGATACCAGAGGCCAAGTGCCTTCAGATGATGACTGCCCGGAATACCACCTTGGATACATCCACGATGTGCTTGAAACCGTTTGTTACGCATCATAGTGTCTGTACTGTAAGTTAATTTTAAATTAAATTAAATATTAAGGCAATCTGGAGTGGTACTATCTCAAAAGCACTTTTGGTTAATACTGCACTGAAAACGTAAGTACTACAGGCGTACCTCTTAACTGAATAGGTTCCTGATGTAACTGCGCGGTGCGGGGGGAATGATAGTTTACGTAACAGTTATGTCTCGCTGCACACGGGATAATTTCAACAAGACTTTTCTGAAGATGTTCAATAACAACTTGATTGAAAAAGTGCCTACCAAATAAAACAAAATTTCATTAATATTTGAAATGAATAGACAAGACATTTAGCACTTTACTTTAAGGTGCCAACAGATTTGCGCGACATTGTCGTGTTCACATTAAATGTATCTACAGATTTGCTTGATTTGGTCGATCGATATGATGTTTTGAGACAGAAATTTTGCCGCATCACGCAGAGCACGTCAAGCTTTACACATAAGAGTTAAATCCAACTCTATGCCGCTTATGATAAGAACGTAAAGTCCAAAGTGTCTGTATTCTGTCTACTGTATACTATATATATCTGCATGTACTTACAGCTTTACAAGTAAACATGCGGCAAAATGTATGTCTCAAAACTCATCATATCGATTTTATCGACACTTAACGATCGACAATGTCGACCAAATCTGTAGGCACCTTTAGGAATTGAGTAGTTTTTCTTATGTCGTACGTCTTACGTCGTCATATATAATAATAAAATTTTCTTTACAGCCGGATGCCGGAGCTCCAGTAGTAGCAGAAGACGGCCTATGGGGCATTACTTCAGGATGGATAGCGATAGATTGTAACATAGCCAACCCTAGTCCGACAGTTTTCAGCCGAATCGCCTCAAAACCTGTGCGATCCTGGTTGGATGCGCAGATGATTGATATCGTGTAAGACATTTTCATCATAGCTTGACTACGACAAGTAAAGACTGGATGGGCTGAACACGGAGAACTCTTGAGATTTGAAATAATTATGACTTCCTGTAAGGGTGCGTTCCCATTATGTCGTGAGACGACAGATAGTCGTGCGGTTTAAAGTGTCGTGACTTGTATATTTAAATGAAGTTGTTCACTAATAAAACAACACGATTAACTGTCATTCACGACTTTTTTGACGACGACGACGACAGACTGTCGTGATTGGGAAGGGCTAGAACGACAATCGTGTGACGATGAATATGTGAATGTTCAGCTTCAAACGATTCTGTGGCGGCTGCCGTGAACTGATAAATTGTCGTCACGATCTAGTGGGAACAGCTAGACACGACAGTCGTTCAACGAAAATAATCGTCCACGACGCAGTCACGGCAGATAGTTGTAATACGGGCGTATGCTAGACGTGACAGTCGCCCAACGATAAATAAAACGTTACGACATTATGGGAACGCGCCCTAACTCGTAGATATTTCTTTGATATTGCTTCTTTTGAGACTCGAAGGGGTATCATCTTACTGGGCACGATGGACGACCCAAATCACGAATGTAGCCATCTTTATTCGAATTAAAATAAAGCAGTTATTCTGTTGAGTACATTTAATTAAATTACTTACTTCTCGTTTGATGCCATGTACTTAATAGTGTTGCGAAAAAATATGCGTTAATTCACAACGTCCTCGTTGAAAGTTTTCTGCATTTGTCAAAAAGTTTACGAGTTGATTGTTTTATAAAGCATGTAAATAAGAAAATAAGCTGTAATTAGAAAGTAAGTTTATTTATTTAGCAGTTAATATATAATATTTAATAGAAAACTACTACAATTAGTTTTGTTATAAAATAAAATACTGAATAAACTTTGTGTTTTTTTTTTAAATTTATTTACCACTCCAAAAATGAGTCTAAACAAATATAAAATGTAAATTTAACACGATTTAGCTTTGTCGCACCCAATATCTTTTTCCTTTCATTGTACAGGCCCGTCTTTATATTATTGAATCGTGGAATTGCATGTAACATATCCATACCGTCATCTTCGAGTTTAGAAACCATTGCACTATATTGCTTTTGTATCGATTCAAAATTACAACGGCTTGTTTCCTTCAGCAAGTCCAGTTCTTTTAAAACTTTATTTTTTGCGTAATTTGTTTACCCGTATCTTGGTGTGATTTCTCCTTTACAATTTCGTTTCTCACGTTAAGTGTAATGCTGCCCGTACAACCATTACTATTGTTTTGACAAAGCCAAAATGTATTGTTATTTCTGTAAATTTTTTTACGGTGGTATTGTCGACCGCTATATAATAAATTTCGCCCTCCACGTCGCGTAGTAACAAATTCTATATCCATACTCACTTTCGTGAACTTCGGTTATGAGATTTTAGCACGCTCAAAAATGGATTTGGCGTAATATTGCATTAATGACACTAGTATTTCCTTAGACTATGGACTATCTTTTATTTTTTTCCATCCTCTAAGAGTATTTCAAATATGACGACATAACATGACTCAAGTTTTCATATCTATCATTAAATAGGTCTGATATATCATACCAGCCACTACAAATTATAGGTTTTAATGGTTACGACTGAAGAATAGACTCTCCTTCGTCGCTATTATTTTTTGTTTAAAATGGGTACATTTCCTAGTTCGAAACCACGGTTTCGTGCGAGTACAAAAAAGTCTTCGTTCGCAACTGGTATCGTACAAAACACAATTATGTTACTTTCGCAACTGGTTACGAACCTCCAGCTCCGGTTTCGTACGCGGCCGAAGGGAATTAAAGCGATGTCTCTTGTCTCTCATCTCTAAAATTTTTACACTAACATCACAGTACATTTATGAAAATGTTATTTAAGTTAAGAAAAATATATTTTTTTTTTTATGAAAAATAGTGACAGACATTATATTATACGAGGAATAAAAATAAACTAGCTGTTCTTGACAGTCGCTAGTCGTCTTCACAAAGTCTCAAATTCATTTGAGGGGCCATATTGTATTATACGCTTCTATATTAAGATTCCGATTGATATTCAAAAGCCATGAGGTTTAAGACTATAGTGAAACTAAAACTTTATACTAAAGATCATTGAACAGCTTTTGCGTACTTAGTTGACAAAAACCCGCTTAGCTTTTGCAAGTACTCTCGATATAAAGATGTTTAAATTAAATATTGTATAAACGCATTGACTTACAATTATATGGACGTCGGGTCCGCGCTAAAAAGTGTCCGAACTTATAGGGCGTTAAAATCGTATACAGAGCGTCATTCACGCTTTAGTCTTCGTTTGTTCGACTGACAGCGAAGCAAGCAAAATTAGACAGTACTGCGATGACATTACAATTTAAATTCAACGTTTTAGCT